TTTAAAAACATATAAATAACAAGATGTCCAATAAGATTAATTCAATGTATACAAATGTCAAAAAGTAGATACTAATATTAAAACATCGGTGATCCATATCAATAATTCCTTTGCTTCAAGCAGCATGCATAAAGAAAATGAAATATAAATTAAAAGTTATAAAAATAAAATATTTTTAAATATTGGTAATACTTACCAACTATTTGATTTAATCAGTAGCTACTGCCGCCGATGAAATGAAGGAGCTTCAAAATCGATTTGGAAATGGGGGTGTAGGTTTTAAAATTATCAAATGATTTGAGTTTATATGAGAGTGGGCGCTGCTTACCAAATGAAATTGGAATGGAAAGGGGAAGGATAAGACCCAAATGTTCGGCTAACAAAAAATCAATTTGGCTGGACTTGACTGATTTATTTAATTAATTCCCTAATTTGTTTAAAAAAAAATTAAAATAATTTAATTAATTCAATATAAAAAATTAAAAAAATTATTTAGATTCAGTTCTTATTCGATTTTTCGGTTCTTGGTCTAGAATCGAGAACCGATTCAAACTCATATGTTCTCGATTCAAATATCAGTTCGGGTATTTAACTTATGAAGAATTGCTCGGTTCGGTTCGGTTCGGTTCAAAAGTTTTGTCCATTCCTAATGAAAATCATGAACTAGGGACCAAGTTGCACAGCTTTGATAGATGGATGACCTTGACTGCATTTTTTGAGCACCTAGGCCGCAGATAGGCACCCATGGGATGAATCCTATACGCTTGTTGCATGTTAATGGTTTTTGCCTCGGTGCCTAGTTAATTTATTGGGGCTGTAGATTTTTCATTATTACCTTATTTCGTTTTTATGATCAATCACCATCGGAACATGATTGTAATTTAGATTGCTCTCGAGAAATTTGGTATAAATTATGATATGGTAATAAACAACACTAAAAGATAGAGATACTTCTATGCTTATCGTAACCTTTTGTGATATTCTAATTTTATCTTGCATTTTTATCTATTTGCATCTATGAATACTTGGATCGTAGGTAAAAAATGGATTAATTTTTCTCAAGAGAGAAAGTTAACATATAACGAATATTGATTGTTAACATAACACAAGAATTGGTTAACAACGGACAAAATATAAGGGAAAGTTAAGGGATTACTTGAATAGTTACTAATCTTTACGTAAGGTTTCTATGGATCACCGAATTTCAAAAGCTTCCTCATTTGCCATTGAATTTTACAAAATGCAATTTCATACATCACGCAGTGATGGATGAAATTATATTTTGTAAATATCAGTGACTAATGAGAAAATTTTGAAATTCTTGGTGATTTATGTGATTACATTTTGTAAAGTTCAATGACAAACGGAGAAATTTTTGAAATTCGATGACCTCTTGAAAACTTTACCCAAAGTTCAGTTACTAGTCAAGTAATCTATCAACTTTTTATATATATTTTTTAGTTTTTTTCTTTCTTTGATCTTAGAGAGGTGAGCAGGCAACCTTTCGGTTATCCCGTGATAAAATGTTATTCTTTTTTCTCAATTTGGCAATACTAAAGAGAATAAAATTGTTGAGTACGAGTACAAAAACAAAAGACTAAAAAACATAAAAATTGGTTAATTATGTGATTGATCACTACACTTTGCTAAGGTTTTCAAGAGTTACTGAATTTCAAAAGTTTTCTTGTTAGTCAACGAACTTTATAAAATGTAATCCCACAATATTACATTTTGTAAAGTTCAGTGACTAATGGAAATTTTTTTGAAGTTCTCAATTATGTATGTGATTATATTTTGTAGAGTCCAATAACCAACGAGGAAGTTTTTTAAGTTCAGTGACCTTATGAAAATCTTTTGCAAAATTCAATGATCAATCTGATAATTATCTTGAAAGATAACATATTAGGGAAAGTTTGAGGATTAAAGTATATTAATAATGGTGAATTTAGAATTCTAGTGCCTTTCGGGATTTGATTATACTTCTTCCATTAATTGTTTATTTAATAGATAAGTTGATATAGTTAGAAGTAATCGTATATATATTTTTTTAATTAGAGCTAGTTTTAATTAAAGTAAAATACGTAGATAATGAGACTTCATGAGTTCGACACTCTACTTATCATTACATAATTTATTCACAATCTTTCCACCAGCGGGATAAAATCTAACAGCAGTTTAAGAAAATGAAGATCATGCATTTTGTTAACCTCACACTAAAAAATAAGCCATTTTAAAAAACATTTAATTAAACATCATAAGTAGCTAGCAATTTAATTTTTTAAAAATAATAAAATAGTTAAACGAACTACATGTAATGTAACATATATGGGGGTGCTTTGTTATTTTCAATTAGGGTATTTTGATCTTTTTGATTATTTATAGTAGCAAATTTGTTAATATTTTATTTTTTGTTAGCAATAAAAAAAATACAGTGTGCAAAATGTAAATATATTAAACATTATATGAAAATTGTAAATACATCCTAAATTCCGTGTGCGTTTTGTAAACTTCTCAATATTGTAACGTGACACATGGATCAATGATCTACGAACATCATTCATGTACAGAGTTCAACAAAAATTATTGTAAGAAACGTCTTTCGTAAGCAAGTTAGGAAATAAAACTAGGGGAATAATAGATTGATGGAAAATGTGTGATTAAAAAAAAGGAAAAGTTATTGATGTGATGAAAAATATTATTTTATTGAAAAATATATGGTTAAAAATGAGCAGAAGAATTAGAAAAAAAAAATTTAGTGGGGCTCAAATAGGGGCTAGATGAAGAAAATCAGAGTGGAAGCGAGAAAATATGGAAAGAAGATGGTCAAATTGGGAAATTGTACACGCCTACGAAGTCAATTTTCAATTAATCATGTTTGGAATACAATGTTGGATGATAATTTTGTTGACAACATGTAAGATATGGTCAAATTGGGAGACTGTATACGCCTTCAAAGTCAATTTTCAACTAATCATGTTTGGTGTACAATGTCGGATAACATTTTTGTTAACAACATGTCACGTGACAAGTTGTCATTGGACATTTTGAATAATAACTTATTTTTAAAAAAAAAGGGTTTTTGCCAATTCATGCATTATTAGCAATGTTGTCATCCAACAATGTACAAATAATTTAATCCATTTTTTAACGTGGGATTTGTTCTTACCTAATTTGCCATTATCTTTGAGTCATAGATACAGTCAATATCGTGGCTGCGATTGTGTGGAGAGAGAATTATAATCAAATAGTCATGAATAGAAATTATCTTGGTTTGACTTTCATTTATAATCTATTTGCCTAATTACTATAATATATTAACCCTTAACTGTTTAACTTCATTTAATACTTCTATAGTGACAAGAAAGGGTTGGAGCAATGTTGTACCAGGCTGACGTAAGGATCACATCGTGTTGCCTTTAGATTTACGTTTGCGACTCTATCTATATTGAGGTCTTAAGCAAAATCCTCGAAGAACGCCTTTTCGAAAGCAACTTAAAAAACTAATAGTCAAATACTTAACTTACAAAAATTTTGTTAGTGATTACGTTGGTATAAAGATTGTTGATTTTAATTGAAATTGATATCTATTGTTGAATGAAACAAAATTACCAATGATCATCAATCTTGCTTTTGGTTCGATGATCTAAGACAAATTCTTGAATGAATTTGTTTCCTTTTGATAAATAGTCATCCGTGAAAAGGCGGCGATGATGATCAACAATAAAATTACTGGTTATTCAAATGAAATTATCGACGACGACGTTGATGATGATCGACACTCCTTTTTCAACGAATACAAATAATAATATCATCTATGATACAATTGATAATCACTTACGGTACTTCAATCACCGATGAAAAAACGTCGGTATGACGGTATCACTCAAAAAAATATTCTTTTTTATGTTTTTATAAAGCTTTGACAGGGAAGGTTAAAATATCTTTCTGTACTTTCCTTATAATATTACCCACTCAAAAGTTATTATTAAAACATTTATTTTGTTCCCGACAAATTTCTTATTTATTAAATTATTGATGTTTTTAATAATATTAACAGAGTTGTTCATGATTGTCAACTTATTTTTTTAATGTTATTAATTAAAAAAATAATTTTTTAAAGAGAAAAAAACTATATAATTTTAAAGATTAGGCGACCACCTAACTCGCCTAATGCTAGAGCTAACTCTGTTCAATACGTCAATCCAACGATATTGCATGGAGGCAACTAATAAAATGTTATTAGTCTCTTTCACATGATATACTTGTCTCCGTATGTACGTTCACTACACATTCACTATAAATTTTACAGTGAATAATGGGGTTGAATTTAAAAAATGGATCATGCTAGTGGTACATCAAAATTTACATTGAGGGTTACACCCTCCTCACATTGGGGGTGGGATCCACTCGAATAAAAATATATTATTTCAGTGGGTTCCACCCCCCATGTGATGGAGATGTAACCCTTGATGTAATCGGGAGATTGCACAATGTATTGAAGTATAAAGGACATATTTAATTTTTTTTCAATCCATTTGGTGAACATATAAATATTTTTGTTAGCTGTTGCATATTTAAGTTGTAATGTATCACCTGGTACGTGTTTGGTAGAGATTAAAATCGAATTAAAATTGAAAAATTAACTGTTATTGTTGACGAATGAGACCCAATAACGACTATATTTTCAATTTTAATTGGATTTTAATTCTTCCCATATAAGCTCCTAATTCACTTGAGAAACGAATATTCGTACATGACTAATATTTTATTGAACATGTAAGTTTGAATCAAACACGAATGAAGATATTATTACTTTGATTATTTTCTTATCCAACAAAACAAACATAAACAAGGGAAGGAACATTATTCGATCAACTAGAAAATATACGCTACAATGCCATTCTCATATGGTTAAGAAGCTTGATCTCGATACTCCATGGGCTCGAGTGCCCTTCACAAACTCGTACAAAAGATTCAAGTTTTACACGACGGTAAACTTCTTACCACCTTAGCCTTGTGGGGAAATACTGCAAAAAATATATCATCGAAAATTAGATACGTGCACAATTCATATATTTGTAGGACGTGAAATAGGACTTTATCGACAGACGAATAAACTTAGAAACTTGGAACAAACCTTTTCAATGAGAGAGAGATAATATGGCTTAACCTCTTCAACATCAATTCTAACCTTGCTCTTGCTGTATAAATCATACTTGCTGCACAAAGTGATTTAGAGAATAAAACATGAGGCCCTTGAATATTTGTAGATTTTCGAGATTTTGAACACTAAAAATTGGCTTTGTATTGATAAAGAGTGATCGAACGTACTTGAAAATCTTTAGCCACTTCAGATTCTCCTCGTCTTCCTCATTCAACAAGTGCTTGTAAGCTCCCGATCTATGCAAAGCTGCCGAAAAAAAATAAAATTTCATCAACACAAACTTGTTCTCTGATGATTTCTTGCTGTTTTGATTTTGTTTCACACGAATTATACAACATCAACACAAACTTGTCGTGCCATGTACTTTCGCTTACCATAAAATGAATGGTATCTGATTACAAAAAGACCGGCCGAAGGTAAGGTTGATTTATTCTCCTTCGCCACCTGAAAAAAAGTAATAAAATTTGAGATTCGATTTTCTTTCTCTGGGCATAGCAGAAATTTCGTGAAAATCATTTCGTGGTGAATAATATACTTCAAGATTTGAAAATGTACCAAATACATGTAGTCATCGTGCCCCCAAGACATCATCACTTTGTCAAGGCCACAACCTTCGCTATAAACTCCACATTTAGTATCGTAAGCAGGATTTTTGTAGTCGGGGTTTTCCTTGAAGTACTGCAGTAATAATCAGAAAAGAAATTTCTGAATTCTCACTATGATAAAAATTTAAGAAAACATAGTAGTGTAACATAATTTAAGTATTATTATAATTTCGTAAATTTTAAGGAGAAAGACCTTGTTGTGAACGATTGATTCGTCGAAAGCACATCCAACGGGGTAAGTGTCACCTGAACCACAAAATCTCATATTAGTCCTTAGCAACTGATGTGTACAGGGAACGATGCATTAGGTACTAGTTGCATTCAGCACACGGGGATCCCGCCACGTTTTGACTTTTTCTGTAGAAAATTTTAAATATTTTTAAATATTTATAAAATATAAATATATTTTGTTCCTTCAATATTTCTTTGTCGAAATTTTGACTCTGCCACCTATTGTATTAGATTATTTCAATTGTAGTGCTTACCAACAACAGCCCATTGAGGGAGCGCACCAAAGCTAGGAAGAAGAAGAACTTTTCCAAGATCTGAAACAACTCGAACCGACATGAATTAGCATTTATTATGCAAAACTATCGCAAATTTCGACTATGATTTTATAGATTTTATAAAATAAGACAAAGGCATACCATGGATAAGAGCAGTCAAGTGTAACCAATCTTCGTTAGGATAGTCCTTCCTAATGGCTTCAGCTGTTTGTAACAAGTGCTCGATTTGAGGCTCGTCCAAATCGGGATCACTCTCGTCAACAACGTCGTTCAGAAGTTCACAACATTCCCATATGCTCATTTCCACCCGGTCCAATTTTCCGTACTTTTCTCTCATCTTCTTCACCTGTAACAACGACAATACGAGTGTTTGAGATAATCCATATGAATCTCTTTCGCAACTCCATTCTATTGAAGAGAATAAAGTAACTAAATAAAAATAAAGGTTACATAAAGTGACTTACGAAATCATACGTCTGGTTGATGTGATTAGTCCTATAGAAATTTTCCACCCCTTCTTGCCTTTCACTTTCAACTTCATAATCCCTGTTTTACATAAATTATTAATTTAAATTCACTGTAAAATTATTAATTTGTCTGTAGGTTCTTAATTAATTATCCTTTGATCAGCAATATTTGTGGCTGTTATGAAATTGTCAATCTGGGGTCCAAATTTCAATAGACAAGATACTGGTCCACAGCCTTGATTACGTCATAATTAATTAATCAATAATTTTGTTATTAGATTAACAATAAAATTCAGATGATTAAAAAAGAGGATAAACCTAAAATTGTGGCCAAATGTATTGGCATTGGGCATTATAAATCCTTCATCAAACTCCAACTCCTTTTCATTATTAACAACCCTTTTTCCTTCCACTTCGATCCCTGTTTTCCCAATATCACAAAAAATTCAAATAACTGGTGAACAAAGATCTACAGTAATAATAATAATAATAAATTAGTAAAATTATAGTAATATATATTCCGCTTCAAAATATAGATCTGAACTGAAGAAACGCCAAATTCGGTTTCAAAAACAGTGAAGAAAATGCAGATCTGAAGTGAAATATTCTCGATAAACGATAATATTCTTGAAAATAATTATTAAAAAAAAATTACTGGAAAAATTACCAAATTGAGGCTGATCGATGAGGATAGTCATTCTCAATCTCTATCCTTTAATCAATATAGTATGAGAGAGAGAAAAAAAATATGAAATATTTGAGAGCGAAAATGTAAATTGTTGGTATCATATTGGTTTAGGGAAAAGGGCAGTATTTATAGCTGCCGGCGAGTCCTTCCCTGAGAATTCGAAACCAAGAAGTCCTTCCCTGAGAATTCGAAACCAATAAGTCCTTCCCTGAAATTTTCTCTTTCTTTTTGGATACATCTTTAGGAGTTAGGACTCTATTTTATTTTATTCAATTAAATTTAGAGAGAGAAGAAATTGAATAGCTGTAAACACGAGAATGGGAATTTTTGATCTGCTGATTTGCTGTCTATTTCTGAAGAGATATTTTAACCTATGTTGGGACCCATCTGACTCAGCTTTGCGTTGGATTTCATATAGCTTCTGAATTAGTGGGTCCTACTGACGTGATTCCAGTCAATGTTGTAGACTTTTTAGCGGTTCGTTTTTGATCCTATTAGGCCACTTGCCATGTTGTTTCTGTTTTTTTTTTTGTTTTTTTTGTCATAAATTATGTGGCCCAAAAAATATAAGGCTGTGTTTGATTTGCACCAGGGAAGAAGGAAAATATTTATCACTTTCCAACGTTTCCTTGTTTGATTTGCAAAAATTGCCCTAGAATTGTCATTTCCACATGCAGGATTCACGCGCCTCTTTTCCATGCGTGAGTCGAATTTGTTTTCTTTCGGCTTGGTTGGTTTTTTGTTTTCCTACTTTTTTTTTTCTTTGCCAATTGCAAAAATTTTTAGATACAATGGTAAAAAAAATTTTCACTTTTATTGACAATTTTCATGTAAAACAAAGTCAAACGAATGGTATTTGATATGATTTATTTTTTATTATTTTTTTTACAATTGGAACAAATTCTAGACTCAATGGTAGAAAAAATTATCACTTTTATGGACAATTTACATGAAAAACGAAATCAAACGGATACAAAACTTTCAACATTTTTCAGGTGAAAAATTATATCAATCAAACATAATTAATTACAATCCCAGTGAAACAATTTCTAGACAATTCAATTCCCTGAAATTCATTTTCTTTCCACCCATTTTCCATATTTGCAATCAAACGGACCCTAAGTGTTCGCCAGAGAGGTAAAGGTGGAAAGGAATTTTGATTAAAGTTGATAAAATATATGATTGAAAAGTTAATAAAAATTATGAATATCATAAAGTCCTGTTTGGTGGTAATTATTTTCAAAAAATAATATTTTGAATAATGATTTTTAGGAGAACGCATGGTTAAAAAGTAGGAAAATATTTTGGAGTTACGTGCAAAATATTTTATTGTGTGAACGTATAGTTGAAAATGAATATATAGAAAAAAGAGTTTTCAAATAATGATTGTCAAATATAAACAAAATTAATCAAAATTAAATTTAGGAAAAAAATAAGGAAAACAATAATTTTAAGATGAAGGCCAAACAAAGATATAATGCACGTTGTTTTTGTTTTTTTTTATCAATGAATTTGACATATGACTACCATCCATTAAGCAAGTGAATCTCACTTTCTACATCCATTAATGGTATAAAAAAGGAGCACGATCGGAGATTCGAATCCCAGCGATGTTGGAAGATAGATATTATGTGTAGACAAGGTTATAGTGCGTTTTATTGTCCCCCGCATCGTAAGGGGAGGTGCACAGGGAGGAGAACCGCATCCCGAATGTTAGGTCCAAATGTGTATAAACTGTAATCGCGTCTGAATTAACTCGGGTGGTGAACTAGGAGGAAGGCAGCCATTCCTCAACTTTAGTCGGGTGAAACTTGGACCTGAGTCACCAATTCAAATTTTGAATAAATTATACTTCTCATTACCACTTTTCTTTCGTATATGTATAAATAATTGAGGATTGCTATCAGCCGAAATGGCTCATTTTATAAATTAATAAAAAAGTGAAGCAATCTTCCCATTTTCAGGTTTGGGATAGACAATTTTTAACGTAAGTGAAGTTAAAAATGCACACGAATAAGGAATTAGATGTAAATTTTTCTAAAATGTCAAAATAAATAAATGAAGATTTAACGTATACAATACTTAATAATTTTGAAGGTATTACTCGAAAATCTTAAGCTATTAATTTTTTCACTTAATTTTAGAATCAGATATCTACGTCTTTTCCGTACTTTGCGCATATTAAACTCTCTAATATATCTTCCTCAAGTCTTGAATTGTAATAAGACAAAATACAGTCACATGTGCTAAAAGCATACTCCAATGCTCCAATAGATACCAAATGTATTAGTAAATCACGTGTTATAATAGATACAATTGGATATTGGTGTAATCAGACCACGGAGTAGCCTTTGGTACCAGGAGACAAGGAACATTCTTACCATTCTTTTCGACCTATAGCTTATATATCTCAAGTAAAAAATTCTCCAAATTACTGTGTAACTGAAGATCCAACAGTTAATTTGTTAGAAATTGAGGTCACAATATGTTTTGTATGATCTAAATTAAAAGTAGGATCCATTATCGAAGTCAGCGAGAACAACTAAGGGGATACCTCTATAACATAATTTCCATAGGCCATAGCTACTATGATTAAATGTGTAATTAAGGGTGAAAATGTCAAATAAAAAAAAGAAGAAAGAAATGTACGGACGTTTTTCCCAATAAGGTGAAAGATAGGGATGTTATGTACTAATTACCGTTTTAATAATTTGTTTGTGACTTATTTGCATTTTTCAAAAAAATTGGGACTGTGGTTGTAATTAGTTTTTTTCTTTTTCTTTTTGTTTTATTTAACGAGAAGGGTATATTCACCATTTCATAATTTTTAATTGAAAAAATAGGTGAAAATGTCAAAAAAATGAAAAGTATGAACATTTTCCACAATAACAATGAAATGTGGGCACGTTATGTGCTAATTACCTAAATTAAAAACATAACAAATACAACGAACATGAAATAGTATGCTATCAAAATTCAGGTTAAGTTGTCCAACTCGGATTTTAGATTCATAATTAAATATTCTAATAATGTTTAGTAAAATATTTACTCCATTACAGGATATTCAACTACTTTAATTGCAGCATTTTTTTTTTGCATCATCCACTATTAATCTATATAGCATGCATTAGCAGCTATGTAACATTTATTGTTATTACTTAATCACAAGTCGGACGTAAATGATAAAATACAAGTATATTTATTATACATGTCTTCCTTTTCTTGTATAAATTTATAAAATTTGAACAGAGAATTATTTTAGGGTATGATTTGTACTTGGCTATTTGCTTTTTCATTCGACATTTACTTCTTGAACATATTGTCACTCTTTTATCATCTTCTTTAATCCAATGATCATTATCCAAATCACTAGGAATTGGAACATCGTTTGGATCATTAAAATTCCAAACTATGTCACCAATTTTCAATATGGAATAAAGAGATTGAATAATATAATTTATACTAGAATTTATAGAGATAATTAAAATAATTAAAATTAAAGACAATAAAACTTAAGATTGCAAAACAAAAGAGCTAATATAGAGATATAATAATTGTACATTGAGAATGTAGAGATTTGTGAAAAAAAATCGAGGGTTTTTTTAAAATTTTAGAAATTCAAGATTTGACCGTCGAGTCAAATGGTCAAAAGTGACCCACGAGTTGGCTCCTAAAAAAAAAATTAGACTTAATTCGATCCATATCTCATTTCAAAACGAGTTTTAAGCATCAATGTGATGAGCCAAGCCATGATCAGTTCAACCTGTTTGTCACCCCTATAAATAAAGAATAATGCTATATGTACATTCTCCTTAACATCTTCATTTACATCCCCCTATATGAAATAATTATGGATGGTGATGTAATGGTTGTGATCAAAATTAAAATTTTAGATTCATAATTAAATATTCTAATAATGTTTAGTAAAATATTTACTCCATTACAGGATATTCAACTACTTTAATTGAAGCATTTTTTATTTTTTTTTTGTATCATCCACTATTAATCTATATAGCATGCATTAGCAGCTATGTAACATGGGAGTGTTTGACACCCATTTTAATGGGTTGAAAAATTTTGGAATAGTGATTGTTGAGAGAATGTGTGGTGGAAAAATGATGAAAAATTTTAAATTTGTGTGTAATATTATTTTATTTGGAGATTGTGTGGTTGAAATGAAAAAAAAAAAAGAATAAGAATGAGAAAGATAATGAGTGCCAAACAGAGACTTATTGTTATTACTTAATCACAAGTCGGACGTAAATGATAAAATACAAGTATATTTATTTAAATAATTTATTAGACATGTCTTCGTTTTCTTGTATAAATTTATAAAATTTGAACAGAGAATTATTTTAGAGTATGATTTGTACTTGGACTGAATATTTTTTTATGAAGTGAGTCAAGTGAATGCTTTTCACTATGTTAAGCGGAAACTCACAACGGCTATGACCATCACCATATCTTTGTGCACTATCTCTTGTGAAAATAATCCAATTGCAAAGATCAAAGTCAGAACTTGCACGAGGAGAACCAAATTGGAGTTGAGTCTCGTGCCGATACCCTTTTTCAAGTCAACCTCGCCTTTTGATCTGACTTTCCATCTACTATTCATATTCCAATGATCATTACCCAAATCACTAGGAATTGGAACATCATTTGGATCATTAAAATTCCAATCTATGTAACCAATTTTCAATATGGAATAAAGAGATAGAATAATATAATTTATACTAGAATTTATAGAGATAATTAAAATTAAAGACAATAAAACTTAAGATTGCAAAACAAAAGAGCTAATGTAGAGATATAATAATTGTACATTGAGAATGTAGAGATTTGTGAAAAAAAATCGAGGGTTTTTTTAAAACTTTAGAAATTCAAGATTTGACCGTCGAGTCAAATGGTCAAAAGTGACCCACGAGTTGGCTCCTAAAAAAAAAATTGGACTTAATTCGATCCATATCTCATTTCAAAACGAGTTTTAAGCATCAATGTGTTGAGCCAAGC